TTACTAATTTCATTTTTTTTTTAGAATTTCAGATATTAGGGGATGGTTGAGAAAGAGAGAGAAAGAAAACCGAGTTGGGTGGATAGGGGTTGAGGAGAATCTTGGGGGAACTGGAGAAAGGGGAGGAATAGGATTAAAATATATAAAAGCCTTTTAGTAAAAATGTCTAAGAGACTCATGCAGACATTATATGTCATAATCTTACCAATGATCAGATAAATAACATGGGTTTATCTCTTTTTATAGATTAATACCAACAACTAGAGGTATAAAGAGGCAAATCAACTTTAATATGTGTTCAGGGAGTCACGGGGAGAAATAAGATTGTAATTCACCTTGATATTATCTTTATATTAAAGGATATAACCCGTGAGAGGGCTGATTTCAAATGGTAAATCTATTAATTATGATAAATCTCTTGAAAAACTCCACAGGCGATTTTAACGCACAGTTTAAACGATTGCACGTGTAAAAAGAGCAGGCGCAAATATTCTCCTAAAACGGAGTATACCGTTCCTCTTCTATGACATTGCTGTAACTTTAACCTTCAATTTGGAACAGTCGGGAAAGGAGAGAAGAGGGCAGAACTCTGTATCCGAGGGAATAATAAAAAAGTCTACACTCGGTCAGAGTCACAGCTGGAGTGAATTTAAGTCACCTTGTCCTCTTGCTCACTCTAGTCTAGCACAAAAGCGGAATGATGGATGCTTGTACTTAGATTATCATTAAAATGGTTCTCCTGCTAGTCATGGGCAACCTTCCACTTGTATCGGCCGCTCACTCTGCAGGACTTATCATGTACGTAACGGAATATCCATGCAGATTCTTTCAAAAGAGTTTTAAATGATTTTTGAAAGCTTAATTATAAAAATGATATATTTGTATTGCGATATCCAACAAGTGTTTGCAGGTTATTTATTTCTTAGCAGGGAGAGGTTGGACTAGGGTTAAAAGAAATCTTGGATAATTTCAGAAAGCAAAGCAAGCCACTACAAAGAAACGACGGCATAGTTTATATTAGTGGGCGCTCTCATGAATTCTCACAAGTGCAAATAAATATCGCGTTTTTATTAAACAAAATGAAATCTATCATTATTAGTGATCTCTAACCAGGTCTCCCAATTCTAACCAAGTTCAGTAAATTTCAGTAATTCTTCAAAACATTGCTTAATCCTAACAACTGTTCTTCCAGCTCTATTCAACTGTCTATTCAAAAGTCATAGAATTGGGATTACACTAAACAGACATGTAAAAAAAATGCTTGTCAACTTCTTAAATATAACTGTTTGTCACTGACCAATCATCTACCTGTCACTTTTAGAAGTATTTGAATTTGATCTATAGTTTGCTTTCAAGTTAAATATATCTATTAAGAGCAACTGAGAAGTGACAGAAATGCGTAGAAACACAAGTCAAGAACATTTTTCATTTGCACACAAAATACTGTGAACTGCACATAATAAAATGATTGTTTAATTGCACTGGTATATTTTTAAGTTTATTTCGAAGGTGGCCCATAATGTTCACTATGGAAAGCTGTAGAGGCACTATCAGGCAACGGCATATGTATATATATATATATATATATATATTCCCATGATTTTGAAGATAGTACTTAAAATTATCTTTGGTTTCAAATATGTTCCCCTAGGAACTGAAATATATAAATATCACGGATATATATCAATTGTGGAACACGATTTGTCCTGTACACATATACAGCACACACTATTTTTTAAAACCCATTAGCAATGCCAGAAATGAAAGCTAAATTAAAATTTCTGAATAAATTACCAAAACCACCTTTCCTACTTTATTTTGTACCAACTAATAAAATAGTACCACCCTGGGTTTTCTTTGTCAGTTCCCACCGTAAGTCTTCATGGTGTCCTGGAAAGGATGCTGAAGTATTTTCTATGTCGCTTCGCACCAGAAGTGAAAATAGTGCCTACAACCCCTCTCGCCAGCAATGTGATTTTTCTCTGTGCTCTTTCTTTCTGAAAATACAAAGTTGTATTTCTAGGAATAATTTACAACCCACCCACATTTCCTACAGAAGAGGAAAAACCTATTAATTAAGAACACTTCCATGAAATCAAGATGAACCAATTCTGAGAAATCATGGAGATTCCTTACTCCTATTTTCCCTTTTGTGGATTAACAAATCATTACATCTCTCCGAAAGAAAAACCTTGCAATGGCAGTAAAATTTGTATTTTAGCTCCCTATTATGAACTTTTAAAATAGATGGCTGTTAAATTTCAGTTTACTAAGTAAGGAAGGTCAAAGACTAAGTTTCTAATCTCCCGATGGGAGTGGGGTTGTGCCCTAGAGATTTTCCCCTGTCTTTAAAGACAGATATTTCAATGTCATCACTAAAGGCAATGGACAGAACTGAACGTCTTAGGCCTTGGGTGGTAATATGGAAACAGCTGCTGTCAGTCTTCTCAACAGGACTTTGCTACTATGGTGGGTAAAAGAATTCGGGGAACCAACACTGACGTTCTGGAGATCACCCCACTTTAAAAAGCAGCATCATTTCTCTTGAGCTGGTTTTCAAAATTATATCCTATTTGTGGAAAAACAACTACTAATATTTAGGAGACAACGTGTCCCATGGAATAAAGAAGATAGAATAATAAATGTTGAAAAAAATTATTTCTCATCTTCAAAGAAAGAATCATTTCTCTTTTGATGAGAACACATGCTTTAGACAAAACCATAAGTGAGATGGCAGAATAGATACAACATAGTTCTCCTAGATAGCGACTCTCCTCCTGCCACCCACCCCGACATTTTGTTTTACTTACTCTTAATTCCAGCAGGTTAGACTTTTTCACAAACCCACTTCTGCATTTTAAGAATCTCTTAATTATAGTTACGAACCTATAATGAAATATATTTTATACACTAAGTTCGGAAGGGCATATCAAGAATTCAACTTATTCGGAAAGTTAGTAATTAGATATTCAGTTTGAGGAGTTGAAGTGTGGCTGCAAACACTTTTTAAAAACATAAATAAGGAGGTCTTTGAGGGAAAGAAACAATAACGCATAGCGATCTGTCTACAGGTATGTTAGCAAAACGTAAAGGGTAAGTTAGACTCAGATATATGCTCTTCAGTCCGGTCTGTAAAGCACTCATGGCTTCTGGCATAACAAACTTGACAGAGGAACATGAGGGATCAGGACCCGAAGTAATGTCAGAAGTAAAGGCACAGTGCGGAAACTCCCAAGATGCGCACTGATTAAAACAGTGAGGAGCCGGGAGAGATGCTACGTCCTTCTGTTCTGGGGAGAACTAAAGCTCTCTCAAACTAAGAAGATGGAGTGAGGCGTGGATGTTCTGTAGTAGATTATCTGCTAATGTCCTCCCAGGCCAGGACCCCAGCTCATGATGGTCCCAGTTCATGAGGAACTTCCGAAGAGGAGGTTAGGTTAATTGCTGTTGAAAATGTTGGGGTGTTTCCCAGGGAAAAAGCAATAGTAAGAGAGATGCGTGTGAGAGAGAGGATGTGCGAATATCATGTATGGATGTACCCATGTGCATATATGTATCGGTTTTTTGTTACTTTCCTTAAATTCTTTTAAATTCCTGGGATTGGAGACTTTGCAGTCCTTTCAGAGTGGAGCTGAAATGTTTGGTATTTCAAAATCCTGGGAAATATTCTCAAATTACAAAAGCAACACACACACACACACACACACACACACACACACAGAGAGAGAGAGAGAGAGAGAGAGAGAGAGAGAGAGAGAGAGAGAGAGAAGCAGGCAGGCAGGCACGCACCAGACATGCAGACCATAAGAGGGCAGTAGGGGACCAAGCTCAGGCAGACTCTTCCCTGGCTGTCCAGCCTTAGCTGCCAGTCTTCCCTCTGCCTTCTGGGCTGTGGGCAGCTGCAGCTGATGACAACGCGCTGAAAGCGGGTGCAGCCTCAACTCTGAGGAATCAGGAAAACCCGCATCTGCTGAGCTTGGACCTCCCCCTTTGGTTAACACTTGTGCGATGTGCGTGTGCCTGTGCTGTTTGGTAAACTGGCTTCGATTTTGGCTTTCCACAAAAGGAGCAGAAGGTGGAGCTGTGGTGGTTCGCGGTGCCCACAGAGCCCCCTCTCCTGGCCTCTGCGCTCTGACCACACTTGGTGCCCAGTGCGTCTGTTTGCTTTGCTCTGGTGTGTGTAACCCTTCACAATTGACTGTCAATCAAACTGCCTGTGTGTCAGACACCAAGACACCCCTGGGAAGTTCCCTCTCACAAAATCGGGTTGGTTTTCCTGCTGTGTTGCAGGCACCTCAGAAGCTGTCACTGTCGCCTCATTATTTTCTTCCTCCCGGTTGATTTATGCGCAGTTCTACTTGAGGGGGAACTGCGAGTCTATTGGAGGTCTTGCCTGCCAGTGCAAAGAATTTGGCAGAGAAAGAGAACTGTGAAAGAGAGCAAGTCTGCTTTTCGGCAGCGTAAAATGTTTTGGGTGCCGGAATTCCCGCTTCGCTGTTACACCCCGCTCTGTCACTTATACCAGTTGTGAGTTTGGGGCACATATGAACATTTCATTTGAAGACGGGAAAGCAGTGGGCCCTATCTTCCAGAGTTGTGAAGATTAAACAAGCGAACACCCCAAGTGCTTAGAACCCAGGCTAGCAAGCACATCTCAGTTGCTATTGTCAGCTGCTGCTTGCATCCTTTGCATCAGCATGTAAGATGGAAGGACCATTCAGGCCATTTCGCCAAAGAAACTCACTAGATCTTGAAAAGTATCTCAAAGTAAATATTCCGCCCCCGCTCTAAACAAGCATCCCAAAGACCAGCAAAATATCGCCCAAGTCTCAGTGCCCATGCAGACCTAGCTTCATGAACCCCCTCCCAAGTAGCCCTAAGCGCCACACCTGGTCTGAGTAAGGCTTTGACTCTTTCTGGGCGCAAAGGCAAACTTCAGGCGCAGAAGCTCTGGTCCCTACCTCTCCTGGCTGAAGAGTGTATTTGAGGGGGTTTCCTACCTGCCCCAGGCTTTTGCCCTTCTTACTGCCGCCGAAAGCCAGTCCTTGGTTCATGCCCGCAGATCGATTGGCAGCCTGAGCAGGAGTCTCCCCTCCCAGAGAGGACTTGATAGAGTTGAGTTTGGACCGCGAGCTGCCAAGCTGGGAGCTCTCCACCATCAGCACCGCGGCCAGTAGGAGTAGACATCGGGATGATTCCTTGCCCCGCATCAGCGCGGCCATCTCCTGATGAGGGGTTCCCGCGGTGGGGTGGAGCCCCGAGAGATGTGAATGTCAGGAGAGGGAGGACGCCGACACTCAACCCCTCAGGTGGGTGCGTGGGCTCCTCACAGACACTGTTCCCCCAGCCCTTCCTGGACTCAAGTCTCGAGCCTCCAGGCCTGAGCAAACGCGACCCCAGAGAGACCCGCTCCTCTGGCGGGCAGGAAGTTCTGCAGTCCCTGGAAGCAATCAAAGACCAGGCGCCTTCTCGCCAAGGAGGCGTGACCCAAGGTGCTGGAAGACCCAGCCCTGCAGATCGCAAAGCGAGCTTCGCTCTGTGTTCTGCACTTCTGAGCTCTTGCCCGATTTTCCGCGATTGAATCCTTTCCCCTTAATCGCTCATGGAGCGGGATCCTTCCCAACTTTTTTTCCTTCAGCCTCGGTTGCTCTTCTTTCCTTTCCTGCGCCTTAGCTCTCAACTTTTGCACCACTCAAGTCCCTCTTTTCCAAGTCAGCACGTTTTGCAACTGGTGGTTAAGAGTTCTCCCCCGACCTCCGGAGAGCTAGGCGAGCTGAGGTTCCTGCAAGCGCACTCCTACCCTTACAGGGAAGACTTGTCACTTGGTTCACACCGGGCCACCAAGCACGGCCAGCGATGAAGTGATGCGCGCCGCACAGAGGGCCAGAGCTCTCTTTCTGCTCTCCCCCGCCCTCCTCTCTTTTTATAGCTTTCACAGTGGATTTTTCCTCCGCCCCCAATTCAAGAGTGACAAAGAGTGAAAACGTTTCTCTCATCCCCCCCCCCCCCCCGCCCGCGGCAAGCTCCCGCCTCCCCTTCCCCAGCAGGCGCCCTTACTGGGTCTGTCCCTCCTGCTTTCCACCTTCCCTACCCTCACACCCCTCCTTCACCCTTCAACCGAAAACTTTGGGTTCACCTCCAGAGCAACATGGGAGGAGATAATCGTGACTGATCACATCTCTGGGAGTGATTGGGAGCTTGGAAACCGGCGAAAATGAAGAGGAAAAGTTGTCCGCATTTGTGACGGCTGCCACCAACCGCCTTTTCTTAGTTCTCCCACCCAGCTCCAGCCTCCAACTAGGAGCTCTGGAAAAGCCCTGTGGGACATTTGTAAATTAACTTAGTGGGTTGTGTGCAGCCTACTTTGATTTTAGCCAGTGCGTCTCGGTTAATGGGCTATGTGAGGCTGACCCGCTTTAAGTGTATCATGGAAGCGCACATCGGATTCTGGGGGCGAGTGGGGGAAGCTGTGGAAATGGGGACGAGCTTCCCCGTTTGAAGTGCTTGGATCTTTTTCATTTCCTCATTCCCACACACATAGTACACATTTATCTATCCAAGGAGTAGGAGGAAGGGGATAATATATCCCTGGGTGTGCGACTTCGCCTCTTGACCTTTAGGATGCCAACGCGTCCGCTTTGCAAAGAGGAAATTTCAGTCAGGAATAAAAAGCCTAATGGGGAACCGGGTGAATGGCAGAATGGGCTGGAAGCATTGGGTGCTGACTCCTGCGCAGCTCCCCCACTCCCAGTCCGAGGATGGCCTTTTGGGTCAGCCCTTAAGGCTCCCAGTTCAGCAGTTCTCTAGAGTCGCCCAGCAGCTCAGTGAGCATCCAGGACGCGCCTACTGGCTTGCAGCACTTGGGGGCGCCAACAGCATCGGTCAGATGGGCGCACAAACACTAGAGGAGACAAGCATTGCCAGCAAACTCTGGGTTTGGAGAAGTTTGGTCGCCCAGGACGACCAGAGCAAAGGTTGTTATGTGTTTCCTTAGCTGGAGCTCCTTCATGCAACCACTAACAGTGTCCTTGAGGCGAAACGTGGAGACAGACAGGGGCGTCCTGCTGTGAGAAGCTCATTCCAGCAACACACTCTAGAATTTTTGGATGTAACTCTCCTCTTTCACACCTGATTGTTCTGGCTTATACCAGCCTGTCCAGGAGCCGAATTTAGCATGCCAGTAAGGGAAGGGTTAGTGACTCCTGTATTTTCCACCAAATGCTAAGATCTAAGGTGAGCATTCAGAACTGGGATGTCCTGGGCAGAATTAGTTATGCGTTTTGCTTTCCTGATCTGGGAGTCATCCTGTCCTGAAACTTTTTATGAAGACAAGGTGGTGGCCATGGTGTTTTGTTTTTAGAATATACAACTAAACAGGAAATAAAACATGTCTTGTCTTTGGATGTCTTATGACTGTAAGATAAAATTTATTTATTTATTTATTAGAACATGTTCAGGTTATATTGCTCAAAATTACTCTAATCTAGTAATTCTCCCAACTCCTCCTCCTCTCCTCCTTCTCCAAAATACTGAGATTATGGACAACTGTCATCACTATGTCAGGTCTTCATAGTTAATGGTTGTTTCACTTTTTAAAATGCATAAGAATAGCATGTTTGAATCCTGAAGGAAAGATGCAGTAGAAAGCACTGGCCACACGTGTTCAAGATGAAGAATGAACAGCAGTTATCAACAGCTTGGAGAAAGGAAAAGTCAGGAGTTACTACATCGATAGGCACAAAATCTTTATCCATCAAGATTAAAAAAAAAAACCCTGGATATTTGCTAAATCACAGAGTCTAGAGTAAATGATAATGAAATGAACATCTAACATTGTCTAAAGGGAGGAAATATCTCATGGCAAATGTCCTTACTAAAATAAATAACACACATAAATATATAGTTTTATGCAACAAACAGCATGTGTTCCTGTGTAAACTGAAGAATGAATTTATATGTTTTTAAGGATAAGCAAGGCTCTAATGGAAGACAGGCAGGAAAATGGTCTGTATGTTGTGAATAAGCCCTTAGTCTTTACAAATAGATGGTTTCTTTTGCTTTTGTTTTGATTTGATTTGCCAATCAGTAAACTACAAAAATGCAGGGGGTTAATTTAGGAATGTATCAATTCAGATATTTTAAAGGATATTTTATTAGTTTTTTACAACTTTTATTTGTTATCAGTGCGTGGAAGTTGTAGGAGACCTTGATGGAATTAGTTCACTCTTTCTGTCTTTGCACAGCCTCCAAGAATCAAACTCTAGCCATAAGACTCACACAAAAGTTTCTTTTATTAGCTTAGTCACCTCTGACAAATATTTTGAAACAAAAGAAGAAACACAAGGTAGTCAAATATGTATGCAATACATTGTCGTACATTTGTTTGAAAGGAAATTCAATTTGACCCTAGCTGGAGAAAAAAAAGTTAAGAGAGAAAAATATAAAGAATCTTTGCCTATTTTGGTCACTTCACACTTTATATCCAATCAAAATTGAATCACACACACACACACACACACACACCCCTCCCATATGTAGTCTGATCAGAAAATTAATGTCAATTACAGCATACTTACTGAATAAATCTCTCTGATTTGAGGATCCTGATAATGAGTCCATCTAGAATCTAACACAACACAAACTTCAGAACACAGTTAAATGCAAGGTTCACATGATTAGACCAGACATGGCAGCACAAGCACCCCAGAGACAGAGGCAAGTGATCATTATGAGTTCAAGGCCAGCCTGATCTACATAGTGACTTCCAGACCAGTCAAAGATACCCAGTGAGACTCTGACAAAAAAATTCACATACAATTTGTTTTTGCAAATATTCTACATTAAATGAAATTGAATATATGGAATGAAACACTTAAATGTAAACAATCACACCTGAGACTAAAAAGAAAGCAAAAATTTATGTCATTGATGATCTAAATGCTGTCTATATAATTGTTTGGCATACACAAACACACATAACTTATACATACAAAGAGATACAACCATACAAAATGAATAACTGAATAAACACATTCCTTGAGCAGCTGTCATAAATCCACACATGTTTTCTTCTTGTGTGTTTTATTAAATCACTTGGGAGGATTGGCTTTCGCTCACTGGCAATAACATAGTTGCAGAGAAAATACATAAAAAGAAGACTGTCCACAAGCAGAGTCAAATCTCTCAATCCAGGAGAAAGTATGTGGTCATTAAGAATAAAGTATTAGATCGTGGCCAACTTGGGAAGGAAGACTACAATGCTGCAGGCACACAAGATTTCAAGTCACCTTGTATATACCAAAAGGATATGAAGGACATTTGTGACATAAATGAGTCTTGGTAGTTGTTAAGGATCTGGAAAATACGGTTATGATTTTCCTTCCTGGATAGTGAACCAAACTACTAGATCCTGTTACTCAGTGGCCCTCACCGTTTGGTTCTTAACCAATGGGAATTTGAAGTTATGCGTCCTGCCTAAAGAACAACGATAGCATATGCTTCTATCAACAGTGTTTAAACTGATTTTAATAGATGTTAATGAGCAATAACATCTTTGGGAATGAATTCAGTTATGAGAGAAACAAACCTGAACCTCATATCTGATGCTTGCCTTAGTTTACACTACTGATTGCATCCTGCCTTCATTCAATGGACAGAAGATGAGATAATAAAAGAGACCTCAGCATATGCGGGTGAGTCTTTGGCCTGGGCTTGACACAGACACATACAAATGAAACAGACCAGGAGATTTCACAAATAAACAATTAAAATATCACTGCTTGGCCAATGTCTGGTTTGCTTGAGCCTTGAAAAATCAGTCATCCTCCCAATGTTTTCCCTGATACCCAAAATGAAAAAAAAAATTGCTATGTAGCTTGTTCCTTTGCAGTCTGAACACAAGTAGATTTTTTTAATCCTAATAATGCAACTTAAGACTCCAATAAATAGACTTGTATATATCCCTGTGCATGTAAGTGACTATCCAAGGGGTTGGAATTAGAAAAAAATCTCCACATACTCAAATATAAATTTCTCCTTCTAATACACATTTTCATTGGTTATATACATCAAATGTCCTTCCTGGCAATACATTTATCTTTCCTGTGGAGTTCAGAATCATCTTTGGAAACAATGCTAGATCTGAGTGTGGTGGCTCACATTGGTAAGCTCAGCACTCAGGCAGCTGGGGTAGAAAAAGTGCTGGGTATCCAAGGATGGTCTGGACTAGGTAATGAGTTCCAGGTTCACCTAGCCCACACAGTGAAACCTTGTCTCAAGAAACGCTGAAAAGGAAACAGTTCAGAAGCTACAAGGAGCAAGTGACATGAAAAGGAAGAGTCCCATGTTCTTCAGTTTATTCTGGAGTTTATTATGTCAGAAATTATTTGGTCATTTGTGACATTCAGTTTAAGAAATTTC